GTCGTCTGATTCTTGATGTTTTCAACAACTTATTCGACTGCAGCAGCAGTGTTTTTGTTTTTGTAGGGAGAAAAAATGCTCCAAAACTGGTCCAAACTGTTTTATTAATTGTAGTAGCCCAGAATTAATTGTAGTGGCCTAAAAATAATTGTAGAAGCACATACGGTTTTTGTAGTGGTCAGAATATAATTACCAGATGAACTAGTCCAATTTGGCCCAACTTTTGACACATCCAAGGTATTTACTAATAGTGACTCCTGGCCAAATTTGAGCGAAATCGTTCAAGCGGTTCGAAAGTTATCGTGGACACAACCAAAAATCGTAGTTTTTTGGCCATCATGGTCGGCCATCGTGTTATAAACCATTTAACACTGCCTAATATTATAAAACTATTTGAGAACGATACAACAATCCACTCTAGGTTGATGAAAAAAGACATTTTTTTTTCGACATAATCCAAGGGGGACCCTTGGGTGATTTTCTATGATGTCCCAAAAGTACCAGATGAACTGGTCCAATTTGGCCCAACTTTTGATACATCCAAGATATTTACTAATTGTGACTCCTGGCCAAATTTGAGCGAAATCGCTTGAGCGGTTCGAAAGTTATCGTGGACACAACAAAAATTAGCACACTTTTTATCACGTCGATCGCTATACTTTTCTCACACACTTCGTGTGCGGGAAAGTAAAAAGTAAAAACACTACATTAAACTACGGCACTGACTAAACGTACGCAAAAAATGATGTTTAGCCTCACAGGCTATTCGTACGAACGATCTGAGGAGTTCGTACAAATAGCCTCTGAGGCTAAACATACGAAGCGTACGAATAATTTTTTCCGTACGTTTAGTCATATACGCTATTTATACGAAACATAAACAAATTGTCAAAAATGGAAAAAAACGACAAATGAACGATACCCAACCCGAAATGCGAAAACAAAACCAAAACCAAAAGAAAACGATATTCATTATAACATAATTTTATTTGTATACACACAAAAAATCACGCAAGCAAAAAACAAATCGATTCCATGATTTCTTATCTAACTTTTGATTTCGTGAAATCTATTGTTATTTAAGTAAAACTTTCTTCAATTGCACATTGCTATCGTGAACAAATGATGAAATGAGTTCTGAGTTTGTCTGCTTTAACAATAAAATAAATCGGGGAATTTGAAAAAATGATTTTTTCCTTTGATTTTGCCTTTATTTCATAAAATACATTCATTTATTTTACTTAAATAGTGCTTTCTTAAAGAGTATATCGTCACTGTAGTCGCTCTTTGGACTTTTATTATACTTTTGATTCCCGCGGATAGCCTCCAATACTTCTTCATTCTTTTTGACTGCGTGATAAAAATCAATGCATGATTGTGTGCAATTGTATTTTGTCAAAACTATTGCTTTCAACTTTGGTAGTCCCAGGTTGGATTTCGACTCGGTCCACATGTTTTTCACAAGCGAGAAACTGCGCTCAGCTAACAGATTATGAAATTTCAGGTGTACCGAAATCGATGTACTTGAGAATGTCCTAAGTTGAGCAGATCTTAAATAGTGAGCCATTTATATGAAACACCCGGTATACTAAACTGAACGGGTAATCTGGATTGTCCGCTAAAAAAATCTATGACAGCTTAAATTTTAAAGATTCAAATGTGTACCATTAGAAAGTTGGCTGCAAGATCTTTCGAACGATAGCCAAAATCCGAAAAATTTTGATCATCGCTTATGATATGATCCCTCAAACAAGAATTTCGCCAAAGCTGTATTTCACGTGTTTTCCGAACAAAAACACCATTTCCTGTGAAATTAGGGCAAGTTGAAAAATTCACTTTAGTCCGACCTATTTTTCGATCATGAAATGGTCTCAAATCGCATTATAACCACTTTTTATCGATTGTTCGTCGAAAATTGAGCGGATATGGCCTTTCGTGAGCCATTTTCAGCCAGTCGATATGTATTTTTGGCATCAATTTCTTCGTAGAATGCGACTCTCCTTACAAATTCAGTTAATCGATGAATCGCCGATGCCTTGAACTTCGCAATAGGGATTTTGCGGGATATATGGCAAATGCCATTTTGTTGGTATGGTCACCGGCTACAAACGCTCAGTCTTTGGTTAGAGGTTGTTGGGCGGATTTTTGAGAAATCGCGTTTGGCGTGAAATTTAAGGGGGTCGATTTGTCAGAAAAATCAATTGGATTGCCCGTTAAAAAAATCTATGACAACTTAAATTTTAAAGATTAAAATGTGTACCATCAGAAAGCTGGCTGCAAGACATTTCCAACGATAGCCAAAATCCGAAAAATAACATCGCAGAAATATTATTAGCGCTGTTATTTCTTTTCGGGGAATTTGGATTTTAGACCGGGAATGATGTTCATTTTCGGGGAAATTTCCCGAATAGCCTGTGAGGCTAAACATCATTTTTTGCGTACGTTTAGCCAGTGCCTTAAACTACATAAAATCTACAATTGAAATCGCCCTACCCGAAGTCATTTCGGCAAATCTACCAAGATTTGAATATTCATCTAAACAATTAGGTAAAGGTATCGTCATTAAATTGGAACACAACATTTTGTTTTATTTGGCCCTCATAGAAAGCTGTGAAAACTTAAATGAAGGTGCTAAGATTTTTTTAAAATGAATTTTCAATAAAATGAGCTACATACGTACATCCACGTCTAATTGTACAAGTCTTACTTGCACTCAAATCGAATATATTTGAAACAAGAAATATAAAAATTAGAATCGATATCCGATCCATTTATTTTGATTTTAAATCTTTTCAATGAAAACAGTGGTTTAACTCAGAGCTAGGGGCTTCACGCAACTTAAAATTCATCTAAAATTTCAATATTTCTCTCTTTTCTCTAAAATTCTCTGGGATTCACCAAAATCCGTATTATTTCGAAATATTTCAACATTTACCTTGAAAATTATGTTCTGGAAGTGGGTTTTGGTGGATCCCCATGATCGTTCAAAACTGCTCCCGGTTCTGGAAGTGGGGTTTTGGTGGATCTTCAGGATGGATCAGACTGGGTTTGACAATGCCCTGGTCCATCCTGAGGATCCACCAAAACCCACTTCCAGAATTTTTAGATTCAAAAAATTCTAATAAATTCGAGTTTATGAATAAAAGAAGCAATATCTATAGTTTACACATAAAATGGTTTTATTTCCAGCTATTTAGTAAAATCTTCGGCCTTCGAGTTTGCGTGAAACCCCTAGACTCAGAGGTTGGTTGCAGATAAATTTATTTATATCAATTTCAAATATCAAATAAATTTATCCGATATTTTTCATGAGGTGTGTTGTTCGGACGCATTTGCAGTACATAAACGAGACATCGGCTGTTGTATTGGCAGCCAGCTATTCATCGCAGGAATGAGATTTTTGTTTTGTTCATTTACCGATATTTGTGAACAAGTCTGCCACTGTGTCACTACATAGTATATAGTCCATTAGAAATGTGCAGAGACGAAAATGTTCGCCATTTAGTTTTATATTGCCAATACATTAGATTTGGAGATTTTTGTTTCGTTTATTTTTTGTCGTTTGTAAACAAATCTGCATATCTTTTTGCATGTCTCTACACATTTCTATGTCGAGTAACAATGCAAAAAGATTGCCACTCTACATAGAAATGTGTAGAGACATGCAAAAAGATATGCAGATTTGTTTACAAACAACAAAAAATAGGTGGCGATCAACTGAAACTGAACTAAGCTGTGTCTGATGGTCTAGATTTATACCCTAGAGTTGGAGGAAAATTTAACTTAATTTACAAATTCGCGAAGAAATGATTTACAATTGGATTTCCCTCCCTCACCCCCAAGAAAAAGTTCAAAACAAAATGATTAGATATGAAAGAAACATTTTAGCAATTTGTTGCATTGACAAAAGACACCGTCTATTAAGAACTCTCACTCTATTCAGTCGGGGAATGCCAACAGCAGATTTCACGAAGATTCAAACCATGACTTGATATAAAAATTGCATTCATATTTAAATTGAGCGCCCAAAAATTCAATTGGACATAAAAATTAATTTAGGTGGTTCAATCCATGCATAAGTTCTCATATAAAACAAAAAATTGTAAACCATTAAGTAATTCCAATTACACTTTGTAAGTGGCCTTAAAGGCTGTTAAATGTATAAACCCCAATTACCATTTTCAATAAAGAATAAAGAATAAAGTTGACAATTCAAATTCACTTCACCAATTTAGATCTATGACGTTCAGCTTCAGGCTATGCGAAAGTCATTTGTAAAGTGAAATTGGATTATATCAAAAACATAATTACTTGTAAGCAAAACCAAATGTTATTGAATTCAAAATTGTGCTTATTAATTTATCTCCAAAAATCCACTGTAGATTTTTCCACTCCTAGATACTATTCATACAATTCATCTTGAGCTTAAAGTTGATGCAAATCTTAGATTCATTCTTAATGAAGAAGATTTGTTAAATGAGTTAGCTAAACATGTGTTAAAGATACTTAAAAAAACGATTGGGCAATGAATTCACAGGTGTCAAACTCTCGATACACTCTCCATGTGGTCGTCCTCACAATAATTGTTTCCCAAAGTAGAATATTGGCCGACCGAATTTAAAGAATGCGAAAATTTATTCAAATGCGGATTTCTCACTAGAAAAGAGAAAAGTACACGGTTTAAAATAGAAATAGAATGATTGAGTCATGATAACTTTCAATTGGTGCTCAATAGACACAACACCAAAGTTCAAGTATTCGCAACTGATAAGATTGACTTACTTTTCATTCGACTAATTGTAGTTCTACACATATCGAGTTCATCAACAAAATGAGAAATAATTTGTGTTCGAAATATTTTTTTACTGAAATCAACCATCAAAAATCTTCTTCTGCAAACTGCAAAATGAGTTCGATAGCATTGAAATAGTGGTTTTACTAAACAACTTTTTATATTTCGCTCTGAAAACACGTACCCAACACAAAGTGCATTTCGTTACGTCATCAATCTCGTTGCATTTCGTGATATAAAATCGTAGTACGCGAAGAGTACTCGCGACAGTATATTTTCACACTTGGAACTAGTAAATTGTTTTGCATCGATTACGACGATCAGTTTTGTTAAAAAAAAATGTTTTACACTTTGGTGATGGTGTTGTGTTCAATTGTGGCACTTTTAGTGCTGTTGGATTTCTTGGTTAAAAATTTTACGACCTATAAAATTGCAAAATTATCACAAGGGCCACCAATGTATCCCATTATTGGTTCAACGCAATTTCTGTTCAGTTCTCAAGGTGAGGTTTTGTGTGTGACTTTTTAACTTGATGAATTTTATTGATTTGAATTTCGTGGTTTTGTGACAGAGAATACCTTCAAAATGGGAACAAGTTTATGTAGTAAATACCCAAGTGGGTTTATGTACTGGACTTTTGGAATTATGGTTTATCATATATATTCGGCCGATTCATTCGAGGTGATGATTTTTTCAATGATTGCATAGTGAATTATGTAAGAAATGCTATTGTGTTCTAATTTTCTTGCGTGAAAACAGAGAATCGTCACAAATCCGAAGCACATTGAAAAAAGTTTTACGTACAAATTTTTGCATCAATTGCTGGGCACTGGTCTGCTAACGAGCACCGCTGAGAAGTGGTTTGCACGTCGAAAACTTCTAACTCCCGCATTCCATTTCAATATATTGAACGGATTCCAATCAACGTTCAAGTAAAGTTTGAACCATTCCTGAGTAAATGTTTAAAATTTCTTTGTCGAATGAAAATTAACCGTGTTTTTGCAGTGAACAAACGGAAATCTTATTGCGTGAAATTCGAAAGAATGAAGTTAACAATCCAGAAGGCACCCATTTACAAAAACTAATCTCGAGGTTTACTCTGAATACAATTTGTGGTAAGTGGTCAAACTTTCCACCTTCGACATTCTTTAAAATATTTCTGAATTCACACAGAGTCCGCAATGGGAGTGAAGCTAACAAAAATCGATGAATTAGATGATTATCGCAGCAAAATCAATGCGATTGGAAAGTATCAAGTGGAAAGAATGACTGTGCCATGGTTTGATAATCTAATACTCTATTTGTGCATTTATTCCTACTTGCAACTAATCGAAATAATTCCCTTCTTTACTAGGTTTTTGATAGATTGGCTCTATAATTGGTTTGGAAATGGTTCGAAGGAAAACCAATTGACCGACCAAGCTCATGCATTCACTGGCGGTGTTATAGCGACAAAACGCAAGGCTTTCCTTGCAAACCAAAAACAACAGAATGCTACCGAAGGAGAAGAAAATGATAGCTACACAAAGAGAAGGCATGCAATGTTGGACACCCTACTAATGGCCGAACTGAATCAAAAGATTGACCGAGCAGGAATTCAAGAGGAAGTTGATACTTTCGTTTTTGAAGGTTTTGATACTACAATGACTGCCATCACATTTATTTTGCTTGCCATCGCAAATCACGAAGACGTACAACAGAAGCTGTATGAAGAAATTAAAGCGCACGAAGGCGAACCAAATTACAATAATCTAACGTACATGGATGCTGTTATCAAAGAGGCTCTCAGACTGTACCCGGCAGTGCCGTTTATTGGACGAATTCTAGGCGAAGATACGGTTATCGGTAAGTATTCTCTGATTACTGAAAAAATATAAATAAAATGACATTGCTTTGCTTATCAAAAATTTATTTATACTACTGTGTCCAAAAAGTAAGGTGACATTGCATTTATTTTGAAAATTCTTTATTTATTCTTCCAAATCAATTTCATCGCCTTCAAAGTAATCCCCTCCCGATACAATGCACTTATGCCAACGGATTTTCCAATCTTCGAAACAGTTGAAAAAGTCGACTTCAGGGATGGCCCTCAGCTCCGTCTTCGCTGCGGCTTCAATCTGCTCTATTGTCTCAAAACGGTGTCCCCGGAGCGGTCTTTTGAGCTTGTTGAACAGCCAGAAGTCGCACGGTGCCAAATCAGGTGAATACGGTGGTTGTGGAACGATATGAGTCGAGTTTTTGGCGAAATGTTCACGAAGAATGATCGCATTGTGAGACGATGCATTATCATGGTGCAAAAACCAAGAGTTGTCTTTCCACAATTCCGGCCTCTTTTGGCGGATAGCGTTACGCAAACGACGCATAACACTCAAATAATATTCCTTGTTGACTGTTTGACCCGGGGGAAGGAACTCATAATGCACAACACCCCGATAATCGAAGAAAACAGTCAACATGACCTTGATTTTTGAGCGACTTTGGCGCGGTTTTTTTGGTCTCGGCTCACCTTTGGCACGATATTCGCTCGATTGGTCGGTTGTTTCCGGGTCGTAAGCATAGATCCAAGTCTCGTCTCCAGTGATCATGCATTTCGTCTTGTCAATGTAGTCAGAAAGCATTGTTTCACACACGTCAACTCGACACCTTTTTTCCAAAAAATTCAATGATTTCGGTACCAGTCGAGATTTGACGCGTTTGAGGCCCAAAACATCCTTCAAAATGGTATTGACTGAGCCTTTCGATATGCCAATATCATCAGCAAGGTCTCTAATCGTTAATCGACGGTTTTCCAACACCAAATCTTTAATTTTTTGGACGTGAGCTTCGTCGGTTGAGGTTGATGGTCGCCCAGCACGCTCTTCGTCTTCGACACATTCACGGCCTGCTTGGAACTCACTATACCACTTGTAAACATTTTTTTTCGACATAGCCTCATCACCAAAGGCTTTCTGCACCATCCTCAACGAATCCGCAGCAGAAAATTGATTCCGCAAACAAAATTTAATGCAAATTCTTTGATCAACAAATTTCGACATCGCAAAAAACGAGAAATTCACTTTTAGCAGTCCACAAAACGAAGCGTATCTCAAACACTAATGAATATTTTGACGTGTAATTTGGCAGGGATGTCAAAGACAGTCCTACCAACCTAAAAATAAAAGGATTTTTTCAAATTCCCCAGCGCGCTAAATTTTAAATGCAATGTCACCTTACTTTTTGGACACAGTAGTATCAATGCCTTATCAACTGCGATTTTTTGGTGCAACATAATGCAGATAACGTCAAATTGCCAGCTAAAACAATCATTCACATAATCATCCATGTGCTGCATCGTGACCCAGCAAACTTTCCCGACCCAGAAAAATTCCAACCAAATCGCTTTTTGAATAACGAAGTACGACATCCATTTGCTTACGTTCCATTCAGCGCCGGCCAACGAAATTGCATAGGTGGGTAATTGTATCGGTATATAAATTTATGATATGATCTTTTTTCCTTTCGCCAATTCCATTTCGAAAATATATTTTAGGTCAAAAATTTGCCATGATGGAGCTTCGTACGGTGGTTGGAGAGATAGTCAAAAACTTTGAGTTGAAACCCATAACAAAGACTGAAGATGTGGTCATCATATCGGACTTGATTCTGAGAGCCAGAGACCCAATTCGTGTTAAATTTGTCGCCAGAAGCCAAAATTGATTTATTATTTAAATTCAAAATAAAATATTGTTACGCATCTAGTTGTTACATGTATAAAAATGTGCCCCGTGTTATTTTTTTTTATTCATGACATTCTCTCATTCTTGTCTTGTTAGCTTCTATTTAAAAAAAACTTAGAACATTTGAATAACCCGTTTTCACAAACAATTATTCCGATCTGTTAATTCGGGTTTAAGTAATGAACGTATTCATTAAAATCGCGAAGATAAGCGCGCATTCGCGTTTGATTACTGGTCTCAGTTGACTGCAATCCGATCGATTGGTTCACTGTACATTTCCGTGCCGTGATTGTGGACGATTTAGCTGTAGCAAGTAAAAGGCGATAAAGTTACCAGCCGACGGACCTTCCGTTGTGTATCGCGAAATTTCGAATAAACTGAAAAGTACGTCACCAATCGATGCAACAAATAATAAGAAGAAAACAACGACGACGACGGCCAGCCGAGATAGTGCGCGCAAAAGAGCGTGAGTACAGAGCGCGCTGAGCACACGAAGTGCAAATAAAAGACAAACGAACGAACGAGCGAGCGAAAGAAACAAGCAAGAGAATTAACGAGAATTCTTTTTTTCTCATTTTTTTTCTTTTCATTTTACTTTGAGTCCGGTTGATTTACGTACGTAAAAGCTCGATGCTGCTTAAGGTGCTGTTTTGATGCTTGAACGTTTCGCTGTTCGAGCAGCGGCTCGCTGCTTGTGTGTATAAACAAAATTTTATAATATTTTCAGCGCCGAACACAGATAATACAGTAAAACCTGTCAATATCGGAATCTGGGAATAGTGGAAATCGTGTCAATAGCGGAAACAAAATTTGGCTGTTGAGCTCTCCCATACAAACTGACCTGTTAATAACGGAAAACCGAAACTCCGAATAGTGGAAAAAAATTTCTCGACGAAATTTTTTTCGTCTTTTATTCATCTCTTTTTCATATAAAACTAATTTTTTCCTTTATCAAAACCACTGATCATCATAAAAATTGTGCAGTAAAATTTCCATTACATTCATATCAGTATTATTTTTAACTTTTGTCTGCCAAAATCATTGCTTATTTATTCAAGCAAACAAATTTTTGACGCTCCCAGTAAAAACATATTCACTAGATCAGTGCATTTACATTAAGTTTGGTAATCATTGTGTCGTTTCATGAAATGCAGAATTCATCGCTGCCAAATTGATAGTGTAAAAAATGAGTATCATTTACCTTCCCATTTTGAGTCATTTTTCTGGCTTCAGCGCTGATTAGGAGACTAAAATACATTTAAAATAAAATCATTGAGATCTTACCTCGGATTGATAAGCCTTAGTCACGTTCACAAATGAGTATCATTCAATGAAATTGTCAGTGAAGTTTTACGAAAGAAATTTACGAAAAACTTTACTTAGTTAAAATGTTACACAAAAATATCATTGATTAAATTCATTGAATAATAATTGTTCATTATTGATTTCTTCATGAAAAATGAATTTGGTCATTTTTCGGACGATTTCAGTAAAATTTCGGAAGATTTTCGGTAGAATTTCGGACAATTTTTGGGAGAATTTCGGACGATTTTTAGGAGAATTTCGGTAGTTTTTTGGATTTTTTCTTCATTTTTAGGACGTTTTTTGGGAAAAACGATTTTTGTATGTTTTCGGACGATTTTTGTGATATTTCGGAAGGTTTTTGTTTGACCCATAATTGAATACCAATAAAAATGTATGTTTTGTTTCTTTTTACCCTCAATAATGGAAAATCTTGTTTGAGTCGACTCAAAAACCTCTGAATAACGGATCCTGTGAATACTGGAATTCTTGTCAATAGTGGAAAAAAAATTCCCTCACGGGATTCCGTTATTGACAGGTTTTACTGTATATTATTATACATATATATTTGCGTTGAAGTGCGCGGGAGAGGGAGGGTATGAGCGTGCGTTTATTTGTTTTCGTTTTTTTCGGGTTCTGCTTTGCCATTCAAAGTGTATATTCACGATTATTGGCTGAGCATTGGGCTCGAAAGCGCGTTGCTTCAATGCATACAGCACACCAGTTGGGCTAGACGCGATTTTCTTTTCTGTGTTGTTTTCTTTTATTATTATTTCACTCGGTGTTCTGTTATTCTGAGTTCGATTCGAATGCGATTTATTATTCGTTGATGTTTTCATTCAGTTGCAATACAATCGCATCGATTCATTGGGTTTCACTGTTGTCATAAGTGTTTCAGACAACGATCCAAATTCTGCGCTCGAGAAAGTATTCAAACCACGTTTTTTTTGTGGGCAAACTAATTGAAAAAATCCAACGAGTTTTTCGATAAATGTTCGTTATACTTTCTGGCCAACGGCAATAAATGCAATATAATTCATTTGGTTGTTCGAAGCAGAAGCGAGTGTATTTGGTTTTGTAGGTTTCGGTGTAAGAATAAGTATTTTCGGACTGTGTAATCAAAGAGGCTTTGCAAAAAGTACCGATTTTCATAGTGCTGTGCAAAGTTATTCCAAGTTAGTTTGGTATTCTGGCCGTAAATTGTCGACAAATCAGCGTAGTTCACACAAAGACAATAGCAACAACAAGCAATATCGTAATAACTTCTAATTACACGCTGACAGTACAAAAGTTATTGTTATCACATTATTTGAATACGACGGAAAATAAATGGAAAAAAGGCTCGTTTCGTGATCGGTTCGTGCGCGAATAGCTTCAATTTCATTTGATTCGATTATAACCTTTTATCTAAAACGCTTTACGATCCATATCGTTGGCCTCTATTAAAATTTGGATGAAGCCAACATTTGCGTTGCTTATACACTTTCATATTTTGTGTCGGTGTTCCGTCGTTTGCGTGCTATGCGATAAAGATTGATAAGCGATAATCAGTTGTGCGTTTGCGTCATGAAAAAACAACAGTTCCGATCATCAGTTTTTTAGCAGTTGAAAGCAACGAAGAACACGAATAGAAGCACACCGCGATGAATCGAAGTAAAAACAGTGAACAAGTGACGACCACCACATCGTCGCAGCAACAGCAGCAGCAGCAACAACAACGAAGCGATTTCAACGTCATCAAATCGCTCAAAGAATTCAATCGATCACAAATAAACAAAATATTGTCTATTGACAACGATACAGCATTGGATCATGACGTTGGTGGAACGACGCACGAAAGCGATGATGTGCCGCAACTGACCGAACCAGCTGGCGTTGCGAAAACGGTAGTGTGTAGTGGCATGCGATTAAGTGTCTGTGTATGTGTTTAGTTCGTATTTTTTTCTAAATCGTCCATTGTTTTGTGTTTGTAGTTGAAAAAGTTTCCAATTTACTATGAATGGGTGCAAACGCTAATGGATTACAATGAAGAGCTCATGGAAATTATCGACAAAATAAATTTAAATTCAGAAACAAAGGCAACGCATGATAATTACGATTCGATGAAGTTAATTGATTTTGACGTCAATAAATACGAACCGGCTCAACAGACCGCAACATTGGCTCCATCCTCCTCACCCATCGAAAACGAAGAGATTTCGGAACAAAACGTACGTCTTAACTCACACAGTGTCACATATGTATATAACATCATATTGACAGTACCAGTTTACATTCTAATTCAATTCACGGAAATTTAAACCTTGTTTATAGCAAAAACTAATCGCCGAGAATGCCGATCTGAAGCGACAAATCACACATTTAGAGCTACAAAAAGAAGGACTTGAAGAGGTAAATATACAAATCATCAACGATTGTACTCTCACAATGATTGGTTTCGATTTCTTCTTTTTTTCGACTGTTAGGCGGCACTCGAAGCACGTGTTCTCGTTTTTGAGGTGGCCGAACGGCACGACACGATTGTGAAATTGAAAAATGAAATTAACGACATGGAACAACAGCTCAAGCAGAAAGATACCCACATTCAATTTAAAGACGAAATCATCAAAGAACTGCGACAACAACGACGAGGCTATTCAAGGGTTAATCTCTTTATTATGTCGCAATTTCATGGATATACTTTTGAATTTATCACATTATTTGTTGGCATTGTTTTCACATTTATTTTTCATGGTCTCGCCAATTTTTCAATCATTTACGATGCTTTGATTTTTTATGGGTTTCACTCTATTGATTTCTAGTGTCCGCACAACTTGGGAAAGACGAAACTCGATTCAATTGACAAAGTAGTCGATTTGATTCGAACGGTGTCTCGCGACATAAGCCCCGAATCATCGAAATACTGCGACTGTTACAACGAATTCTACCAAGAAAAAGAAAACCAAACCGACGATGCGATGTGCCAATCGTTTGAAATGAGTCATGAGTACGCTAGAAAAATTGAATCGCAACAGGCGGAAATTGAGCTATTGAACGCTGAGCTTGATAAAAAGGTGGGTCGTTGTGACAATGGCCGGTGCCCATAATTACTACATTTTATTTTCTCATCGATTTTGCGTTTCTAAAGCGAATTATCGCAGAGGAGAAAGTACCAGTGTTTCTAAACCAAAAAAATTAAATTGATTTTTACGATTATTTGCATGCCGACAGGAATCAAGTTACGACAAAATATCCAAGGCCTATGCATCTCTACAACAACAGCTGGAATCAGTGAAGTCAATAAACGCTAAATCGAACAACGGTAGTGATTTTCAGGTATATGTAACACCGGCATAACGGCCGGAGATGTCGAATGAAATGAAGCTCATCTCAATTTACCAATTAGTGTGCAGTTTGTTCCGTTGTCAGAAAATGAAATGTGTTGCAATCGATTTGTTGAATTCATTCTAATTGCACGTTAGTGTCCAATGAAACATTTTCATTTGGCCAGATATGGCACGAACAACACTTTTGATTGTGTTATAATTAAGTGCAATAAATCAATCAGACCGCCATGTGGTTCTGGGCGATTTCCATACAAAATTGGTGCAGTACATCTCGGAATTCCACAAAAAGGCTGGGAAAATGAGAGCAAGCGGCAAATGTACGACGAAAATAGATGGATAAAAATGTGCCTTTCGACAGAATCATAGCGTTTACTTTTCAATATGCCACTCGTCAATGTGATTCTCTCACACGCACACGCACATTTCATTTTTCAAAATGATTCGGAATGCAGTTTAGTGTGTCATTTCAGTATATTTTCATTTCTCAGCCGTTCTCGAGTCATGTTTTGCTCGTTTTACCGTGAATTATGCTCGGCACTGAACAGTGTCTATTTATTATAATGAACATCAAATTACGAGTGGCACAAACGAGCCCAAACAAACATCATAGACTCATCTAAAAATGATCGCCTTTTCTTGGCATATTCATTTCGAAAATATGCTTTGAGGTTTTTAAGCAATCTCACTCTCACTCTCTCCTCCACTGTCGGCCTGCAGTCGAAATGTGTTGAAATACAAAATAGTGCCGTTTGTTTTGGTTGCATATTTGAATAACTGCCTCCAAAAATAAATACCGTCAAAACGGTGAAATGAAACGAATTCTTCATTTGCCCCTCAAAAAGAGGTTACTCCACAAATAAATTTCATTTGCAATCATAATATTTTGCTCGATCCATTACAACCAATAGAAATTTTCACGGAAATCACAAGTGCTTACACGCGAAAAGTCGATTAACTCAAGTGTTCTTCTTAATGCCGAAACAAATTCCTTTCATGTTTGTGATCACGTAATTTGGAAAATGAAAAAGAAACATCATATACGATGGGAATAGCAAATGATTGACTCATCGCAGGAATAGCCAACGATAGATGATGTGAAGAGCGAATGATTGGGCGCCTTTCGATGAACTGCAATCTTGTACCAGAAAAAAAAACACACATTCATTTCAGAACACACCGAACGGTCGAAATCCAAATGAAACAAAAAAGAACCATACTGAAGTTGACTAAAAATATACGGCATTTTCCCATTCGCACCAGAAACGCGACTAAATGCGGTTAGTTTATATTTGGATTGCGACCGATTCGGATGCGTTTACGCTTTGCTCCGAATTGTTGTGCGTGAATTATTCTCATTTTGGTTTTAATGCCATGGGGATAGAGAGTGAGAGAGAACAAAAACAAACACCGGTCGTAGAGTAACAACTGCAATTACTGCAGAAGGAAGTGCTTAAACGATGTGTGTTTACTTAAAAAAAACGCCACGCACACGGAAAACAATATCTTGTGAAAATAAACACGCACCTAATTAGTAAATAAGAGCAAATTCAAAGTTCAAAAAAAAAAAGAAAGAAAATAGTCAAAAGTCAATTGTGAAACGAATATATACATATATGAGTAAAGCAGATTAACATGGGTTACACACAGGTCGGAAAAACAGTTAAATCAACGGCGGAAAGTGCTTCAGTGGAAGATTTTTCAACGGCCATCGCTGATAAAACACATTTAGCCAATCTGATCACAACACTCAAATCGGAATTGGCCTCAGCAAATGCTCTGCTGAAAATTAAAGAAAAGGACTACCACGAAGCCAAGGATCAACTGAAACAGTCCAAAGGAGATCTAAGTGATGCAAATAAACGAGTGTCTATGTTTGAAAAACAGTGCGAAAATTATCGACAAACCGTGAGATTTTCTATAACGATTGATAAACTGTGAAATTTTACTGAAAAAATACCGTTTTTTTGCCTCTAGATCGAACATTTGGAAGATCATCTGAAAACACATTCCGACACCATCAAGCGACTCGAAGAACATCAAGACATTCTCAAAACGGTGAGTGATTATATGAAAAGTGGATTGAAATTGAAACATTTTCAGCAAATTTCGTTCTTAATTAATGCTGATAACGTATTTGAAATCGAAAGCAATTTTATATCAATTTAAAATATTCGCTTTGATTCCCCTCGCTAAACCACGTGTAATTGAGCAATTTGTTTCGGTAGCAGCAAACTTATACCAATTACATGGGACTCGTGCATTGATTGAAAGTGAGTTCATTTTTCTTTCTGCAGCAAGTCGCTGAATCTCAGGAAAAGCAGCAAAATATCCAAAAATTGATGGAAGAAAATCGAAAGCTAGACTCAAACGTATGTTAACATCCCCCCGAATTCCGAACTATTCTACCTTCCTCCTTCTCCTTCTATGAAATGCATGCTGTTACTTAATAACCCACTTCTGTTTGTTGGTCTTAATAATCCATTTCACTAAGCGATTGTTTTGCTTTAAATGCACTTTCTTAATACATTAAAAAAAATAAACATTGCTCACAGTTTAAGCACCAATTAACAACGATTGCGTTTTTGCGCACGGCACTGGAAGATCACCTGCGAGCCAATACGAAGCAACTGAATGGATCGACAAAAAGTATTCGCGCTAGAGTCACTGCACAATCAAGTAATAGTCAAACAACGAACAATGTCCAAGCTACGGCGGCAACAGGCTCCAATTCAGCTTCATCGAGTCGTGGTCCGAAATGGACTTGGTTTAAATAATTACTTTGTGATTTTTGTTTTGCATGCAAAATTTGAAAGAAAAAAACGAATTTTTTGATTGTTATTAATAAAGACATGTTTCCTACAATAAAAGACAAGCAACGGAATTTTTCTAACAATAATTAAAATTAATCGTGAGAGAATAACAGCGTTTGAATTAACCTCAATTTACCTAGATGCCAATTTTGTGTGAGTCTGATTGCGCACTGGAGATAAGTTGCAGTAATTGCAATAATTGGCACCACTTTTCAGACAAATTTCCTCAATGTACATTCATCATCGCCACCGGCCACCGCATCAACTTGCAGCAACAACGTCAGTAGCTCCGCTTCGAACTGCTCATGTCATCGGTACCCGAGAGAAACGAGAGAAACCTCCGCAGATATCATAAGCGAAAATTTACAAACATCATTTCAAGAAGTACATGTCACTTTTGTTTTGTTTAATTTCGGATTTTGTCAAATCAATTTTTCGATTTACAAATTGTAGAACCTGAAACTGAATAAGGTGATAACGTTGCTTCGCGACGAAATTTTGTCGCTGCGTGAAAGAATTATTGATGTCGAAACCGATTACGTCACATTGAATGATTCGTATCGACACTTTATAACGGTACGTATACATTGATTGGAAAGTAATTAACGGTGAAAAAAATTGAAAGAAATGCACGTTGAAATTGCAAATAAGTAACGCCAACGAACTTGGAATGGACAGAATGGAAATATTGAATCGTTATTGGTGTCACTAAGAGCGCATTTTATTCGAAGCGCATAAAAACAATTGAATGCCACTATTCACGTCTTCGTCGATATTTTTACATCTTCAGTACACCGCATTGTATACACAATTTCAAAGTGGAACGACTTCGATTTCTTTTATGATTTGATTCAAACAGCGATTGCAATGTGTGAATGACACTAGATTTGCCAGGCGAATGAAATAAATTTCCGTTTTTATGATGCTTTGGCACGTCACAACAAATGGCTGGCATGTAATAATCATTCGACGATTGCTAAAATGTTCAGCACCAATGAAGCCCGAATCAATCAGGTTTATCGGTCGATTTTGTTGTTGCATGCGAATATCAGAATTGACAGTAGAAACAACCGAAAACCGACACACACTCACAGAATGTATTTGTTGGTTGCTCTGGAGTCGAGCACACGCTAAATATTTGAAATATTTCTATCCAATTTGAAATTGACCTGATTTCGTGGCTTCAGTACAGCGCATCGAGAGCACTTTGTGGCATTTCTTTTTCAAAATAAGCGAGTGTATACAAATAAAATTGGAACAATATACAAGTTTGAGGGTAATTGAAAACTTTCGATTGATTAATAAATAATGGAAGAATTGACGGCAAACTAGAAGGACAAATTGCATGCAACCCACAACAAACGAACAAAAAAACCTCCAACATTCATACACATATTAACTTCGTTGAATTCTCGATAAATAAATAAAATGAATAAAAACGTTCGCCAAATTGATGCGTGCTATTGCATTTGTCTGAATATTTTGCAATCATCCATTTCAATCACGCCGCGCCATTTATTGCACATAATCGAGACTCAGTTATGTGTGTGTGTGCACGTCTGGACGAGTCAATAATTCATATTTCTCTTTATTTATGGAAACAAATAAATTTGATCAAAATTCGAAATGGAATTGCATTTTCAAAAGGGTTGATTTTTTTTTTGGTTCGCGTTGCGTTGCTGTGTGTCTTCCGATTGCTATCGTCTGATTTGTTCGGAATGAAAACAAACTCGATTTGCCCGCATGCGGCCGTGTAGTGAGACATGCAACAAATCGTCTACCAATATGAAAATTCGCCTGGCATTCACGCCATCGATATCAAATCGCTTGATTGTCAAACCATCACTTTGTTTATGCAAAAAATTGTTTGGGCCAAATAGTAAACAGTTCACTATTGAATCGATCAGAAGTATTTGTGGAAAAATTGTCTCTGTTTCGGCGAATAAAATATAAATTTGTATAAATCCAAAATGGCAAAATGACGGAATTTCAAGTTGAAAAAGTTAAAAACTACTTAAATATTTAGTGCATTCTTGTGAAGGGGATAAACAGTGGAAATTTTCCGACGGAAAGGATAAAAAGTGTCACCAGAAATTGAATGATAGCATATATACGAACCCGACACGAAGTTGTTCATTTGCTAAACCAATTTGTCATTTCGAAACCAGTGTCATCCGAAAAATTTATAAATGCAATTTATTAGCGAATAATCAGCGTTTCGAATCTTTGATCCACCATGACTGGTGCACTTATTACTATTGTTCAGCTCATGCAAAATGAATTCATTTCGTTTATTCTTTTTTCGTCGCTGAAATTTAGATAACATTTCAATATGAAAATGATTTACTGGAAGAGTTGGCATTCAAGTCATACGATTATGACGAAGATTCGTTGTCAAATGGCACGACAAACGTCGTGCAACCGCCAGTTGTGAATGGCATTCAGGAGAAATTGAATCGCATGGAAAACGATTATGCGAAACGAATGAAAATTCAAGAAATCTGCTACAAAAAGAAATTGAGTGAATTGCAAAGGAATATTATGGATTTAAATCGACGAATGGAGGTGAGTATGGGTTTAATCGCTTTTATTCAAATCAAATTTTTCATTTTTCCTTCTTTGAATTAATTCAATGGAGTTCAATCCATTCTGATTTTTTTTTAAATTTCAAACCAGTCTTAATTCAATTTTTCATTGCTTTATTGTTTATTTGCCGCCATAAAAATGATGAAGGCGCCAGACGCAGAAGCCAATAAGTCTGAAGGGGAAGAAACACCTCGGTCTACGTTAAAAGAGCTCGTCGCACAAATACATCACCTGCAACAAGAAGTTAGAGAAAAAGAGATGCTAATCAAACGTAATGAAATCAGCATGAACTTTAAGGTGTTTAATCTAGATTTTATTGACTTGTGAATTTTGCATTTATATTGTTGATTACCAATATTTCTTTCAACGTAGAATGACAGTCTAAATCAGAAAGTTGTGCGATTAGAAAAACTGGTCGAACAGGAAAAGCTACTGAATACGAATTTAACAGCTGAGGTCGATGTGTGTCGAAAAGAGTCAAGGCGATTGAAAGAGTCATCATTATCAACAAGTAATGACCAACTGAAACAGGTAATTACATACGGTTTTGGAATGAATTTCAGCTTTTTCACAAATATATTGGATTCAGCTAAATGATCTGAAACGCCAAAACGGGGAACACGTAGTACGGTTCGCAAAGCAACATGACGAAATTCAACGGTTAAACGCAAAGCTGAAAGATGCGACCTTGATCAATACGCAACTAAATGACGAACTCAATGAAAAGACTGAACAAATCTGCCAGCTTCACGGTGAAAACTCGAGGTAATTACCGACTTTCGCTTTGGTCAAGTGTTTGATTTTAGTTTTGAAGCATAAACAAGGTTGATATGACCTTGAAACATTTCCAACAGAATGTCAATTGAAATGACCAAATTGGTTTCGGAAATCAAAAACGACCAAGAGACAGCTAGCCATATGTCACTGCAGTTGGCAACGGAACGCAAAACGACAGATTCTACGTCAAAATCACTAGTCAAATGCGAAGAACAACTGAAGATGTTTACAGACAAGAGCCAACAATTGAGTCGGGAAAATAATACACTGACGGATAATGTATGAACCATAGATCATATTCAAACGTTTTTGTTCATTTATCGAAATGAATGTTCCAGGTTGTTGAGCTCAAGGAGCACTTGACAGAATCGCAAAGACGCGAAGACGTTTTATCTCAGGAAATCAAATCACTAACCGATCTCCTCAAAGATGCACAACATAATCTTAAGATCTCCAATGAAAGTGTTCATCGTCTTTCGGTAGGTTCGGATGAAAATAAATGTTTCATCACCAAAAATCCATTAACGAACGTTTTGTTGAATTAAAATCCAATCGAAAACATTCACATTCCAAATCAAATCACCATATCAATTCGACTCATCATCAGATATATCAGCATAAGTTTGTCGATTTGAAAAAAGCGCACGACCAACTGTTGGAAGAAATCGCCGAAAAGGCTGCAAATATAAAATCGACCGAAGTAAACTTGACAAAACTACAAAATTCATACGATCTGTTGCTTTCGGATTTTAAGTAAGTTTTAGATGAAATCAGAAGATAGAGATGAAAAATAAACATTATTACTGTTGTTGTTTATTTAATTCGCTTTCAGCGATCTGAAGGAAATCAAAGGGAAGGCAGAGCATACACTAAAAACGGCTAATGAATGGCAACATGAACAACAAAGGCGTGAAGAATTGATAAATAAAAAAATCGCAATGCAATCGGAACACATCAGGTGCAGATGCCAAAGTGAAACTTTAACGGCAATTTTAAGATTTTTCATTGTTTGCATTTGCATTAATGTGATTTTGTATTTAGTACTTTGTTAGACGATCGAAATGCACTTATTGCAAAAAATCATGAGATGCTTCGAGATATATTCATTCTGAAAGAAAAATTGCAAGACTTCAATTGCTATTTGCCCAAGTGAGTTCAATGATGAACGGATTTTTTGTCGATTTTTTCGTATGAATATTTTCATAAACAGCAACATTGTCAACATTTACTTTAATATTTACCGTAGCGCTCAGTTCACAGATGTAACGAGCAGCTTTTCCCTCAGTCGACCAATTCTTCGTTTTCGCAGTGATCCCCAAATTAACGATGTAAGTCAAATAGATAAGTTTTTTTATATTCCAAGCACTGAAGGTGATGTATTATGTAAAACTGGTGCAAAGTCTTGAGAAAAGCAAATAAATCACACAAAACAAATGGCATGTGTTACATATAACAATTGACACCTATTGCAGTTTGAGGATTACCAACAGCGGCTAGATTACAGTGTTAAACGAATGACAACAAATCTGCAGAGAACTAGAGCGTTTTGGGAGAATGGAATCAGTGATGCAATTCAGAATAGGCCCAAACCAGTTGACACAATGATTGACGATGACAGCATAACCGAGTCACCTCGAGTCGACGATACATTGCTATAGATTTAATGCGCCAAATTTTGTTTAGTTACAGTTGAGAGAATTGCAATAATGAAAAAAAATTGAAAAAAAATTGAAAATATGATGTTTCTGGATTTTTATTTCATTTTTTAAGCTGCCTATTGGATTTGAATATGCAAACAAGTGAATTTATATAAGTTCAAACAAATTGTGAAATGATCGATGCCTTATAAAAATAGTGATAATCACATACGGAGAAACTTGAATTTACATGATTATTATTGCCCAAATTCAGAGTTTAAAACCCCAACACTTGAGTGCACATTTGTGATGCAACAATGAAGCCTATCAAATCAGGTAAAATGTACGAGACAACAAAATTTGTGTGTCCAGTGGACACTGTCACGTCAAAATGAAACCTTCTCAACTTTCATGTGTTCGTTTTGCAATCGAGCGTACTTCAAATATTGCAATGACAAACAAACGAAGAAAAAAAAACCTGCATTCTCTTATGAACTGATTCATTCGAGCGCATTGTGCATTGTATGATTGCATGGAGTGTACTATTTGCTGTCAAAATAAAATGAAACACAGTGATTAAAGGCGTTGTTAATAACCGGGCCCTTTCCGAGTGATATAATAATATTGTACGTCGTCGTCGTCGTCGTCGTCGTCGTCGCCACCGTCGCCACCGTCGCCACCGTCGCCGCCGCCGTCGCAATTGTTTGTACACACATGGAGTAGTGCTCATAGTATTCGACGCCCGCAAACCAATCAATGAGGTATTGCTTACCATTCCATAGTTTTGTTTTGGACCTCGTTCGAGCCGATCAAACGCATGCACGCTTTGTTCGCGCGCACGCGCTCGTCTTTCGTATTTCTATGTAAATTTTTTCACTAACGCGAATATGCTTCGCTTTGTTTGCGTCCGCATGCTACACATCACGAGAGTGGTACAAAGAAGCTATCGTAGTTTTCAATTTTTCGCACACAGTCGAGGCGTTTGATATTGTCTTGAGCTCAGCAGTCGCGTTGATAATGTCGATTTGAACAGTTCAACTGAGACTCCTAATCAACTCTTTCTTTTCCCTGTGAATTTTGTTTTCCTACAAATTTTCGACTTTCTTTAAAAAAGAAATTATTTATTTGTTTTTATTTCTTCATTTTAATCGTTGAAAAGTATATTTTGCGGAAAAAAAAATTTTTAACAAGAAAATATATAAGATGACATCCGAAGAAACATCGACCATGTACGGCAATCCGTTATCTGAATTTTTTCACTTCTTTATGGATTTCCTCATATTCACGGCTCGATCACTTTATTTCCTATTGGAAACTCTTATTCTCACCGTTTTACCAAACCGTTATCGTAAATTGAAGGTAAGTGTTAAAACCGCATAGGCCGACATACTTTTCAATCATTTATGTGGATGTGTGTTGACAAAAAAAAGTGCGACGTTGTGATGTTTGAATATTAAATTAACAATCAATTAGTGGTTATTAGTATAAAGTGTTTAAATCGCATTTGAAAAGTATAAGAACCATGTTTCGCAAACTAGTGCGAATGTTAGGCAAGACGACAACGATGTCGATGTCATCGTCAATGCTCCAGACGAAAAGTAAAATCTGTTGAAATCCAACAATAGACGTTCGGTCGCACAGCGTATGTACGCTTTCTTCTCTCTGTCGCACAGATAATTAAATAATTATCGGTTTGAAAGGGAAAATTTAAATTAGTTTCTCGTTGTTGATATTGATGTTGTTGCTTTTGTTCGATGTTATTGAATGCCATTATTTGTGCAATGTTTTGTTGGTCCATAAATTGCACCATTCCATTGAAGACAATCTGTTTTCTAATTTTGTTGTTAACTCGAACAATGAAAAATCTCCTAAGACGACTGATATTTTGGCTTTTTGACCCCTCCGTCAAATTTAACGGGCATTTTCGCTTCGATTCGCCACACGGTTGGCATTTCAAACCACTTTCGCAGTGAGCTACAATCGGTTTTTCCATTTTCATAGAGAATTTGCAGCGCGCATTTTTTTTTTGCTTTGCATGATGAAACTTATTTGAGACTCGCACCGCACAGCACAGCATACAATGCTTTGATTAACCATTGAATTCCACATTTATGTACATTGTACGGTGAATGCATGCAGCGGGAAAAAATGTAATAAATAAAACCTCCAACAAGCAAATCGAATAGAAACAAAAACTTTCTATAAATGACTGGATTGTTTTCATTATTTTTTTCTTTTTCATTGCGGCGATAGCTACTTCTTTCTCTTGCTCTCTCTCTCTTGCTGTGCACGCCTATACAAAGTCGAATGTGCTATTCAAAGAAATGGCAACGAGCAGCAACAGTGAGCAAAGCAAACGTGTAACGATTGCTACTTATTTTCAATACGGCTGTGTGTTATTTAGAAGCGTAAGATGAGACGAAATGCAGAAGCACATGTGCACATTCGTTGAAACCGATAGTTTGATAACATCTCTCGCTTTGTCTCCATAACAACGATCACATACACCGTCCATATTTAATGACAGAAATCTCATTCCGTAGTGTACTGTTTGATTTATGTTATTTCACATTTTATGTTTACACTCGAAATATTTGCGGTTTAAAAAGAAATAACCATTTTTGCTGGTGGCTTCGGACTGTGGGGTCTATATTGAAATCGAAAAAAAAGCAAAACATCGGAGCAGAGAGGAAAAAAATATCGCAACATCATTGTAGTCAACATACAAATCGACAATAGATCATAATGGGCAATGTGTTAGCTTATTTGAATAAAAATGTTACCGCAGATTTGTTGACCTCTTCGAACAATGAGCGAGAAAAATAGTGCGTTTATATGCCATTGCACATTGGCCCCTATTTGCGTATCTGGATTGTGGTTGGCGCTATTTTTTTTTCTTTGTGCAATTCTGTTATGAGTTTGGAAAATTTCGCACACAAATTTTATGCTTAACTTTTACGCAGTGTGGTGTGGCTGCGACTACGACGACCTGCTTTGCTGATTTTTATTGTTCAACGCAATTGTGTAAATTGAATATCAAAATTGTGTAAAGTACGTATCCAAATGGCATAGAGTTTCTAAACTCGTAGCAGGTATATTGGTATCAGCCAAACGTAAGCTAATCCCAAGCAATTATATTGTTTACTAAAACTAATTACGATCAAAATATGTGTTTTCATTGGAATTAATCCATTGGCTGCATTTCACTGGGCTGTAACAAGCGAGCAACGAATACTTTTATAAAAAATAATGACTTTTATAATTGTTGTTATATGATTTTTTGCTTTTTTTCGTATCATAGGACGTTTCCGGGCAAGTTGTATTGATCACTGGTGGTGGCGGCGGTGTTGGAGCACATTTGGCTCGAAATTTTTGTAAACTAAGAGCAAAAGTCGTCATTTGGGATGTGAACAACGACGGTGAGTGAATCTAATCTCTCTAAAAATCATCATATCCTGTTTTATCGTATGAAATGAGTCAAGCAGCAACTGGTTTCATACACAAAAAAGTGTTCATCAAGTTCGTTTACCTTTCGATTGCTATACCCCTCGCACACTGTAAGCAATTTCATTTGGCGTTATACAATCAAATGGACGCACACGAGCGCGAACACGGTGATATCAAATCAATATCCAATTTGAACGAATTGCGGAAATTTTCCCATCAATATGCGCCGTCGCATTGAGTTGATTCACAGCAGTCAATGGATCGCAATTAAACGCAACTAAAATGAATCAAAACAGCAACAATATACAATGCGATGAATACACTGCTTCGACACGCTCCGAAAGTGTTACTGTTTTCTTTTGCTTTGACGCGTTAAGTTTTTATATAATCTGCCGTTATTTTTAATTACCTACGCTCGTGCTTGCGCTTAACTCACATTTGGACAACATTAGACTGCTCCAAAAATAAAAAGTTATTCCTCATCCCAATTCCCCGGTCATTTTCGAAAAATATACCTCGAAAAAATAGGTTTAGCGCAAAGAACGCATATGGGTACCATATAAAATCAGGACGCAAGCCCCATATCAATTTTTTCATGACAGCGATTTCGGAAGCCATTTACATCGCAACATTTCGACCGATTCCATTATTCCAGCCAACTTTTGCCAAAAACTGATGATGAGGTTTTTTTTTTGGCTCGTCAATATCTATAACTTTTACCGAGAGGTCAGCCCTTGAAACAGCATTCTGGGCTAGTTACAGTGTAAAATGACCAAAAAATAGCAATTTTTCTGCATTTTTGACATTTTTTGCTCTACTCCCATTATTTTTGTCAAAAATTAACTTTTCAGCAAGACACCAATCCTGAAAGAGTATATTTGAGAAATTTTCTGAACAAAAGTCGATTTTTTTAGAGTTGTAATCGAATATGAGGTTAGAAATAGGTAAAAACATATCTCGACTTGATCATGTAGGCACCCAAAATGTTCGTAAAGGACCATTCTATAATTAGTATCAAAGACAGCGTAGGTAGAAATCGTTTGCTTTCATCTGTAAAATCGAAGCCCATAGTCGTGATTTGATAATTTTTGTCCGAAATTTCTCATTTATGTGTGAATCAATTGGCACCAAATTCCATCCAAATCGCAATCTGGAAAGTACCAAAATGTTTGTATAGGTTCTGGCTACACGATACAAGTCTAAAACTGAACAAAAGTCCACCACCTGGGTGATTCGTAGAGCAAAAAATGTCAAAAATGCAGAAAAATTGCTATTTGTTGGTCATTTTACACTGTAACTAGCCCAGAATGCTGTTTCAAGGGCTGACCTCTCGGTAAAAGTTATAGATATTGACGAGCCAAACAAAACCTCATCATCAGTTTTTGGCAAAAGTTGGCTGGAATAATGGAATCAGTCGAAATGTTGCGATGTAAATGGCTTCCGAAATCGCTGTCATGAAAAAATTGATATGGGGCTTGCGTCCTGATTTTAAATGGTACCCATATGCGTTCTTTGCGCCAAACCTATTTTTTCGAGGTATATTTTTCGAAACTGGCTGGGGAATTGGGATGAGGAACAACTTTTTATTTTTGGAGCAGTCTAGGACAACATACACCACATAACTGAACATAGATGATGATACAAAACGACGTATCATTCACAATGACGAATGCCCTTTTGCTAATCAACTCGAGTCAATAGAAAACGACCAAACGAAAAGAAAATGTTAATTTGGTTTCTCTCAACTCAAAAACTGCGTGGAAAGGTCGGTGATCGTTAAAATAATATTAATAGCTGATTTGTAATATAAAAATGGCAACTTCCAAATCGGACGTCATAAGTCGCGCCCATTGCTCGTTCTTGAAACCGATTGTCAATAGTAAAAGTATCAAAATGTTTATTTTTAACGTACCATGATATCACAACATTAGAAAAGAACGTCCCTGAGATGAAGAGCATGTCTCAAGGCTTGTGCACCGATATTTCCATCTCTATGTCATTATAATGAAATTTGGGCAAAGAAACAATTGTTTCGATAGTCTTTTTCCCTCCAAAAAAGATATTAGAAACTAATCATAAGTCGTTGCTGGCGCTTTGACCGAAGCTATGTAAATATCAAAATATTTTGTGTGTAAAAAGTTTCAATGCTTGTGATTGCTATTCATCGACGAATGAATTATGTATGCGAATTTTATTGGATCTTCTTTTTGTCTCTTTCTCCAATAAATATACATTTATTTCCAAAATACCCAAAATTGATACCTCTACGATGGTCACGTGCCAATAGCATAAATTTTGAATAAATTTTCTTTGGGAATTTAAAATTTTGCCTCAACATATACGAAACCTCATTTGGCCATCACATCGTTTCAACGACATGATTTTTTTTTGTGAAATTTTCACCAAAATCGTTTGTGCGTTTCAAATGTGGACAAAATGTGGTAGAAAGATTAATGCATTCATTTAAAAAAAAAGTGAATTTTACATAATTTGTTTGTATTTCCAATGCGTATTTGTACGCTACTCGATGTCGATGTCGGAAGACGACACGCACACACTGTCATCATCTCTTCCAGTTCTCAATCGAAACCGAAAGTACTCATAACTTGCATATGCATCGTTTCGAAGTTATACATTTAAATTTCGTTAATTAACATAACATCCAGTGTACATTTCGTGTAATCTTGTTTGCTTGACACGATTTTTCTTGAAGAAATATGGTTTCGTTGGAATATATTAACAAAGATTTTGCCGTTTTTCCTCCTCTGCTGGCCAGCAGAGTTTCATTGAATTTGTTATTGCTCGATTTTTATTTCAATGCATTCAGACATTTTGTTTGCCATCGAAATTCACTGACGAAAATGTTTAGCACGTTTGAACTTCTGTCAAAGAATATTGATTAACAGATTGGTTGGACATTGTTTGACTCATACGCATTATCGACTGATTGATATTGATTCAGTTACAAAACCCATTGAATATTCAAGTGCGTAATTCATTCATCGCATTGAGTATTCAGTTCGAATGAGAGAATTGTTTGCATAGCACCGAACAAATAAATGTTTTGATTTCGACAAGATAAATATTCCATCAACAGCATCATCGATCATCTTACTACTGACCGAATGCTCAATAATATAATATTTTTACATAGTTTCGTTAAAAATGACACGAAACCAGCGAAGAAGCAGAGAAAGAAACATTTGAGTGTAACACATGCATGTGACTTTCAAGCATAAATACGGCGGCCCAGCCATACAGCGACAACTCACAGAATCGGTGCTAAAAAGCAAGCGGTGAAACAAACGTTTTACCACTGACGCATGCCCATCGGAGAATTTATTTGTTTATTACATCACTTTCGATACACAGTTTCCTGTTCGAACAGTGTTGAATTTGTTTTCCTTGCGTAAATCGTAAGAGAGATAAAAGTGCGAGTCATGTCTTAGAAATCGCTGAAAACTCGTTCTATTTTGCATAAATTTGCATAGACAACGACCTCTTCTATTTTTGTTTTTCTGCAGAATTCATATGAATGACATTTCTTCGGAGTTAGAAATGTTTTTTTATTGTATGCCAAACCTCAATGAATTTTATTTTACCTATTATAGCGATCAACAAGACAATCGAAGAACTTGAAGCTGAGGGCATCTCGTGCAAAGGATACGTCGTTGACATATCAAAACGGGAAAATGTTTTCGAAGCAGCCAAAACGTTGAAGGAGAAATTTGGGGGTGTTGACATTTTGATCAATAACGCTGGTATTGTTTGTTGCAAACCGCTATGGGATTTACCCGAAAAAGTCATTGAAAACACCTATAACGTCAATATCTTATCACATTACTGGGTAACGAATGACATTTTTGATATATGTAAACAACAACAGATTTGTTGTTTAAAAATAGATACTTTTAACTGGAAAATTGCTAACGTCAGACTTTTGTTTCATTTTTAGACGACAAAAGCCTTTTTACCCGAAATGATGGAATCGAATCGCGGTCACATCGTCACCGTAGCTTCAGTTGCTGGACTACTGGGTACTTATGGATGTACTGATTATTCGGCAACGAAATTCGCTTGCGTCGGATTCCACGAAGCATTGTTCACCGAACTCAAAACACATGGATATGACGATATTCACATGACATTGGTCTGTCCGTACTATATCGCATCGGGAATGTTTGCTGGTGTTAAACCAAGATTATTCCCAATGCTCACCACCAAATATGTTGCTGATCAAATTACATTGTCGGTTCAAAAGAACGAAGTCAACTGCACAATGCCAAACAGCATTCGCTTATTGTTACCATTGAAATGGTAAGTGAAACTAATTTGAAATTCATTCTTATGATGATGGTTCACAGTTAGCATAGTTCAGTTTAGTTATAATGAATCAATGAAAATGATTTTAATAATTATTAATCTTCTTCTTCAGTCTTTTGCCAGCCAAAATGTGCTGGGATATGATGATTCACGTTATCAAAGGACCACAATCGATGATGATGTATAAGGGACGGGGACGCGTTGCTGCTGGTTAATTCTTAAGCATTTTCTAGTTTTATTTATAGTATTTAAAAGAACATGTTATTGTTGCATGTGCGTAAATTTATTTTATTCTGTTCGACTAGAGACATTTTGATCGGTTTACAGTTTGCTGATAAATACTCGTGCGAAATACTTATTTGCGCCGTAAAAGTCTTTGATTGTTATCGTCTTGGTTGCTTTAAAATGCGTAAGAGTTTTGCTGTTTTAAATGCGATATCATTTCATTTCACAAATCTCGATTTGATTGGAATGCCGTGCGTATTTTGCAATTAAACAAATAAAAAAATGTTTGAATCAACTAAAAATCAGGTGTGTTTTGTTTGTTTGTGCTGAAATTCCTTAGAAAAGGTCATAGAAATAATCCAAGCCTTGGCCCATTTCCCATAATGCCAAACCCGTGTTTAGCTCACGAGCGAGTTCGATGCGCTTATTGATTGAGTATAGTGTTGGATAGAACACCATGTGTTTGCTCGGTTTTCTGCAATCAAACAAAATCGGTAAGAAAAGGTCTTTTTAAAGACACGTAAACATGAAAATTGAACTTACTTGAATTCAAAATAATTCTCTTCATCTTCTTCGGCATGATTGAGAGACCCTTTGTACAATTTCAATAAATCCAAAAACTGTCGTCCTGTGATGGGTCCACCGCCAGATAAAGTATAATCCATACCATACATATTCATTCCGATCAACAGTTTTTGCCGCTTCTCTCTAAAATTCTGAAGTGTATCGGGGCAAATGTGTTCAACAGTCTGTCTAATCCATTTGACTGGCGAATTTGCTCCGGGGCGTTCGATGTTTGAATAATCGTAGGTCACCAACGAAAATGCACTAATCAACGGATACAACGCTTCGAAATGTTTTCTTGAGAAGAAATCCATTTGATCACGGATTGGAGGCACCACCAACACCGTTTCAAGACCATTCACTTGGAGCACCTTGGCTGTAGATCCATGGAATATGAAACGATAAATATAAATAATGAAAACGAATTGGCAACATTTTGATTAAAAAATAGCATCATCTTTAGGTTTGTATGTGTGATGAACGAAATTAGGAAAATTTTAATACGTGGATGAAAGTTAATCGCCTGCTTCCATTCACAAGTACGAAAAAATGTGGAATAAAGAGAAAAAGTCTCTCACCCAAGTGTTCAACAAGTCGAAGTAAATGTTTGTCTTGTACGCGGCCAGCCAATTGAAACCATACCTCAAGAACGATTCCATCAAATTTATGCCGGGGATCTTTGCATACTTTAACCAGCAAATCGGCAATCTCATCTCGTGCGCTCTCATACATTAAAACATGTGAATAGTCGGTCTCACTGAAGCGCTCGAACATGACACGGGGTAAAACTATGGAAAGATAATGTCCATTTAGTAACAGGCAGAGGAAAAATCGATACAGACAATTGTGGCAAATATCAAAAGCAAAATTTACCTTTCTTCCCTGGTGGTCCCGTTCTTCGTACATCTTGAATCCATTTAGCGTCAACATCGTGTGTTCCACTGATTTCATATTTGTGCTTTCCCTTGTGCTCTACTTGAAGCCAAACAGGTGATATAATATCAAACTTGGCTCCAAATGTCTTCGCAATGTCATACCCATGATTGTTCCACTATGGAAGAAGAATTCGAAATACAGCCGATTCAATATATAATTCATTATTCATAATTCATTAATAATTCACGTTTATTTGTTCTCACCGGTGTGACGAAGCCAAGCGTTAGACCATCAAATAGCCTGGCAGAGGTGTTTTTGTAATATGTACCACATTCCTTGATTATTGATTGGCTGTCTGGTTCATCTACAACTAAATTCCTATCGAACACATTCCGGTCAACTGGTCCCTTGTTCACTTTTACTTCTTTGGCTGGTTTTGCTGCTTTTTTACTTTTGTCGGGCGGTGCTATGGTTGCAGTAGAGAAAATTACAAATGATAATATCAACACAAAATTTGATTGTAACTGGAATCTCATTCTGTTTAATTTGTGAGATTATCTTTCAGCTCTGGGGGAAAAAATGTAAGACGTGGAAAGTAAACTAAAGCTGTGAAACAAAATAAACACCGCCGGTGATGTTTCTGTCAGGTATTTTCTTTTCATACGTTGAGCTGTCAAGATGTGTTTATCAGCTGTTCGTTGCTATGCAGAGGGAGGACCATGCCCAAGCGCGCCATCTATTATACAGTATCGAAATGTCTATTTCAAACCAATGGAAATATGAATAGAAAAAAAAATGACTTCAACCGCTTGTTAGCCATATGCTATTGAATCAGTGTGGATAAAATCAATCCTTATGATTTCCGAGTAAATTATACGCTTTCATTGCATACATATATTCAGTATTGATTGTAGTATCAATTCGGTTTTGGCGGTTAGATTGAGAGAAGAAAGTCGAGTTGAAATTGTGGTGAAGAGAGCGGTGCATTAATGTTTTCTTTTCTTTTGCTAGTGTATCGTATTGTGTGTTGTTGAGAGCATGATCGGTCAGTGATCGCGCTTGACGTATGGGATCATTACTGTTCGTGTTTCGTTTGCTCACTCGTTTACACCATGTGAGTGGGAATGAAACAGTAGCGCAAGATCAAGAGTAAACGGTATGCAAGTGAATATTATGCGATAGATAAATTTTCTCTTGCTTGTCTACACTCAATGGTGTGGTGGTTGTGTTGCCGCTACATGTATCTCTTGGTTTTCCCATTTCAACCGCGAAAAAAAATTCGGTATGAGCATAATCGGCTGAATGCTGCAACATCAGTTGGAGTTGATCATTCGAAGTAGCTGCAGCACGCGATACCGTTATCGCGAGTTAATTTGTTTTCGATGGCGCAAAATGATAGACGTTTTTTCAGTGTTTTAAAATTTATGAGTGAAAAGTGAATGAGACAATCAACCATTGAAAATAAATTATTAGAATACAAACGGGCAAATAAAGAAAACGAACAAATAAACGAAAAAAAAAAACAAAATAGAGAGACAAGTGTTAAGTGTAGCGGAAGTTCCGGAACAAATAAACACACACAAACAGAGAGATGCATTGTGAAAAGATTTTCTTCATCTCCGTGGTTTGCATCATCGCATTTTCATTGCCGTTGCGTGGTAAATCGAATAATGGCATTTTGTGAACTTTTGTTTTTTTCTCTCAATCTCGCTGTAGTTTTCGTTCAAGCATAAATCAATTTGGTGATAATGTAAAAGTAAGAGCATTGATTGCAAATTGCAAACAAAATGTGCGCGTTGCACAACTCGTTTGTTGTTGCTGTGAAGAAGAAAAAAAAGAAAGACAGAAATGATGGCAATTCTGTTTCAGTTTATCGATTTAAGGTGCTTGTGAATGTGAACAACGAAATAAAAGCCACTTGACAACATTTGCCGATCGAAATGTTACAATTTACTGTGGGAGAAAGCAATGCAGTGATTGCGATTAGTCGTTAATTTACACAATATTTTTTTTAATGCTCAACTATCACTTTATTGCGCATTTAACGTTGTTGGCTCGTTGGGTCGAACCTTCCCGAAATTTTATTCAATTTTCTACAACCATAACCGCATTTCTATTGTTGTTGTCGTCAAATTTAAATTTTTAATTACTTGAATGAATTTTTTTTCGGTAAAAATTTTCGCATGATTTCCATTCCTTGGAACAATGCTTTTGTTTACTCCGTTACGCGATTTCTTTTTTTTTCTTCATCATAATTTTTCGTCTAATGTTCATTAAAAGCGCGCTTTAATCCGCCGAAATGAAAGTAACTGAACGGTGCACATTTCGGTCAGAAACGGCTACAGAAAAAACTTTCATTTTGAACACAATTTTAATTCGTTTAAAAGTTTTGTTAACAACAGGCGTGATATTATGTGCCCACAAATTTGGTGAACGCGACGCACACATACCAAATGTTCTTTATGTTCTTTATATACATTTCGCACCGAAACAATGGCCGTTCATTTAGGCAACTTCCTTTTTTTTCTTCATCCGAATGATGAAAAAAAAAACACGAACTAAAACTGAATTTTCCAAACACAGACAACAGAGGAAAAAAAAAGTTACACGGCGGCAGCCTTCTATGGAAATTTTGTCTAAAGACCGTGCAAAGAGCACAATTGATCTGTTGTAATCTGAGAAACTTCAACCATTCAAGCGGGCTCGTTAACGTCATTTTTTCCACAGAAATAATTTATTTTAACAGTTATTCGTGTCGCGCATGAGAAGTAAATGCGAGATGGATCTTTAACGTGAACGTGCTGCGCACACACTAATGAATATCTTTTAACAAGAAAAGCGAACAAAATAGCAGAAGAAAAAACATGGAAAACTAATAGTTTTGTTGAAGATCAAAAATATGAATATGATAGCGCGATGTGGTGTTCTGTGTGCACGACTGACGAGATGCTCGATTGGCTTTGCTGATCGTCCGATGATTGACTGCAGGCAAATTTTCCGTCTCTTCTCACACAATTCAGAAGCGATCAGATGATTGTAATCATTTTACACATTGGCTATTGTTTACACTCGATAAATTCTCAGCTCTGGTTTCTAGGTTTGTAGGCCGTTTGATTTAGTTTGTAATTATTCGTTTATAGCCCATCCAATGCAAAAAATACAATCCAAGCTCGATTCAACATTGAAACATTGATCGCAACAATATCAGCCACTAGCAGCAGCAACAACGGCTCAAGACAAGAAGGAAGGAGTACAGAAAAATGCACAACAAAATATTTAAAATATGCATTACAAAACTGTGTGGTAATTATAGTGCTAGTGAGTAGCAGCGTGTATGGTATACACAAAAGAGAAAAAAATGCGTTGTTCTTTGTACTTTTTGTTGTGTTAACGTTGATGGCAATGGAGATAGAGCAGAATCCACGGAATTAGAACCCATTCCACGAGCTTATTAGTAAATTGAATGAAGCGAAAGGAGAAAGAAAAAAAAATCGAAAAATAAGTACTTATGAGAGTAGCGTTGAGCTGAGCTCACATTGTCATGTATGTGCAATGCACGGCTGCTGACAATATGGCCGGTTCATCAAAACAGAAAACAACGACTTCAGATGAAATAGATTGTCTCTTATCTGCAGCGCGTTTAGTATGTCTAATGTTATGTCGTTTGTTATGATCGTATCGCATTCGGCAAAAATTATGAAAGATACAAATCGTGCCTGATGTTTTTTTCTGCTTGTATCGGTCTATTATACAGACATTTTGAATAAAACATGAAACCGCACTCTGCGCGCATCTCGGTCAGCACACAATTCACATGCCGCCACAGCATCGCGCACTCGCACTTTGTTTTATTAGCGTCAATTGAAAGAGAAATTTTGCGCGCGCGTTACTCTTCACTTGGCCAATGGTTGCGCAGGTTTTTCTTATTGCTTTTTTGTCTTATTCATCATTCTGTTTTGCTTTGTTGTTTCTCTTCTCTCTTTTGAATGTCTATACACATTGAAAAGAAAAAAAAAACCTGAATGAAAATATCGCTAAGACCAGCGGGAAAATACATGTACACCATATGATAGATGTTTATTGTCGTAAAATAATAGTCGATAGCCGTTTAGAGTGATTTTTGCCATTAAAACAGCATTATTTTCATGTTATTCAATCGTAAAATCCGATTTGTTTTCCTCTCTCCGTCTTTAGCTTCTGGCGGTAATTTGGTTAAACGCAGTCTCAAGGATACCATAAAATGTTACGAAGATTCCAAATTCTATAGAAACCCCGAACGGCCCACCCATAAAATGTGGTCAAATGCTGAATGCTCGAAATACTATCTGTGTTTGGACGGCGAAGTATTCGAATTTAAATGTTCTGTTGGACTTTTATTCGATGTAATGCGTCAGATATGCGATTTCAAGCAAAACGTTGATAATTGCGATGTCACAGCCGGTTTGTTTCAAGTTTTCTTTCACAACACATGTCCATTTTATTTTATCAATTGAGCGACACGGCCGTTTAATCTTTTATTTTTCATTTCTGGTTTTAATTTGTATGCAGAGGCAAAAATACCAAAGCCGCTATTAGAAGAAGGCAATTGTGAAAGCAATCAACTCGCGTGCGCTGATGCAACGTGTTAGTTATGGAGTGAATAATTAATTAAAAGACCAGAATTTTTGGAAAAATTGATTATTTTATATTTTTCAGGTTTGCCGAATGAATACTTTTGCGACGGTTTGTAGCCGATTTGACATTTTAATCTTTTGGAAAAGACAAAATAATGATTAGTATTATTTAGGATTGAATAATAATGGTACTTTTTGAATTGAATTGAATATACCTAACATCACCAGGTTCCATTGACTGCAGTGATGGATCTGATGAAGGTTGGTGCGATGTGGATAATGATCCGAATGCAGCCGAAGCGTGCGATTTATCACAGTGTCAACTACCCGATTGCTTTTGCTCAAAGGACGGAACGCTCATTCCGGGCCGATTGGAGCCCAACCAAGTGCCGCAAATGATCGTGTTGACATTCGACGATGCCATCAACTTTGAGAATTGGGATTTTTTCACCACGAAATTATTCACACCAAACCGCAAAAATCCAAATGGATGCCCAATTAAGGGCACTTTTTTCGTTTCCCATCAATTTACCAACTACCAAATGGTTCAGGTTCGCAAGCAGAGCAAGAAAAAACATAGATTTCATTTCCTTAATTTAGCACAATTAAGTTTATTTAAAAGTTGATTTATTTATTAAATTTTCATTTTTTTTTTCATTTCTTAACAATGGTTCAGAAACTGTGGAATGATGGCCATGAGATTGCAGTGCATTCAATAACGTAATTTGATATTTTTCTTCATATTCTTTCGACTTTTCCCAATTTTTCTATCTATTTTTTTTGTAAATCTTTTTTTTGTCATCCGTTTTTATTCTCCATATCAAATAATATTACCGATATCTAATTCTAGGCACCGTGGTCCCGAAGAATGGTGGTCTCGTAATGCTACGATCGAAGATTGGTTCGATGAAATGGTTGGCCAAGCGAACATAATCAACAAGTTCGCCAATGTCCGAATGGAAGATTTGCGTGGAATGAGAGTACCATTTTTGCGTGTCGGTTGGAATCGTCAGTTTTTGATGATGAAAGAATTTGGATTTGTCTATGACTCATCAATGGTAGCACCATTCTCGAATCCTCCACTCTGGCCATACACATTGGACTATAAGATGCCACACACATGCACCGGCAACAATCAACATTGTCCGTCGCGAAGCTATCCTGGCGTATGGGAAATGGTAATGAATCAATTAGAAGCAGGCGACTACTACTGTGGTATGGTTGACTCTTGTCCACCACATTTCCATGGTGAAGATGTCTACCGAATGCTGTCACACAACTTTAAACGTCATTATGCAACGAATAGAGCTCCATTTGGCCTTTACTTCCATGCAACATGGTTCAAAAAGGCCGAATATCTCGATGCCTTTATGAGGTTTATGGATGACATCGCCAAAATGCCGGACGTTTACTTTGTGACAAACCACCAAGCGATTACTTGGATGCGAAATCCCACACCAACAAATTCACTGAATCAGTTCGATTCGTGGAACTGCAAGGGAAAACAATTTGAGCCAGCTGAAATCGCTTGTAATCTTCCGCACACCTGTAAACTCCGAAGTAGAGTGTTGCAACAAGATCGCTATTTCTACACATGCAACGAATGTCCCGCACAGTATCCTTGGATTCGCAACGAATTCGGTTTAGATTAAGTTGTTCCAATCGTTCAATCGTTCTTAAAATCGAAAAAATACAAAATTTCATGGTATAAGTTAGACGTTACGAATAGGTTCGCAAACAGAGCAAGAAAAAACATAGATTTTATTTCCTTAATTTAACACAATTAAGTTTATTTAAAAGTTGATTTATTTATTAAATTTTCATTTTTTCTTTTCATTTCTTAACAAAATGGAGAGTGTGTTTTTACTTCAAACGGTTATTAGCCTACGCGTCTTGTGTGATAAACGGATTTTGAATAGATTCCATTCCATCTTGCGGACAAATCAACACGACCGATGTGCCACGGCATACAACCAAACCCAAACTACGTGTGTCGTCGCACATTTTGTACGGTTCTTCAGTGTCGCGCAAATATTCTTGTGTGTTGTCCAAAACTAAATTCAACAGTGGATCATAGCCCTTAAGAACGCCACTTGCTTCACGGCCACCGGCAAATTTCACACGAATCGTCTTTTCCAGATACTTGCTGAGATCCAAAATCGATTCCTTCCGCCGTTTTTCCTTGTTTTCACCTTGATTTCCACTTCCACCGGCCTACAATCAGAAAAAACATATATATGTATAACCGGTCTTTTTATGTACCGCTTCTATTGAAAGTATTGACTCTCGCTTTTGTTTACAACTCACCTTTGGTTTATCACTCATTTTGAATATTTTTACAACTGAAGAACACAATCAAAATCGACTATGATGATGTTGAATTCGTATCACAGCTTGTTTTGATGGGTATTTCCTGACGCTAAATGCAAATTGAAATCACTGTTATTAGACTACTGAAAAAAATGCGTGTTGTGCATCGAATAATCGTATATTGTTTGTTAGGGTTATGTTTGAGGCTGTAGTGAAGTGTCATCATGACATCAAGTCCGTGACAAAACTCACGCAACGATAAAGCAGTTTTAGCGCGACTTTCTGAACACTGGTATATGAATGAATGAAATGTGTACACAAGAAAACAAATCATTTCCTATGGATTGGATCAATTCTTCCATTTGCGCTTTTACTTTGAATTCTCAAAAATATTTCAATCATAAAAATAAAAAAGATTGAAATGCGAAAATCTTTGACATCAAATTAGCTTTCTTTCACAACGGATGAAGCACGAAAGGTGCAGCGTAAATTAACTATGGCGACTCCATTCAAAATCATTTAAAGTTTGGTGTTCTCCACTTGCATCGCATGCTTTCTCCAAATCAAGTTTTGAATTTTGAAATTTTTGCTCAAGCAAGCGTGTAAATTTAGGGTGTTCAGCTAATCTGAAAAAGAAGAATGAATAGCATAAATTTAAAGAGAAGCCAATTTTATGTCAACTGGTAGCATTAATAGAGCGTTATATAACACTTCCAGAAGAAAAAAAAACTCTTTGCAAAATCGAATAATGCTTACCTAAACGACCCACTAGAGTACTCCTGCGCAGTTAACATCAACCAGATGGGGAGTCAACTTGCTTCAACGCAACTATCCCACATGATCGGGATAGCCTTTAATAACTAATGTTACATTTGTTTTTTTTTTGTTTGCAATGTGTTGATTAGACAGCATGATCAGCTGGCTGCTGGTCGTACTCGAACATTTCTACATCATTATCCACGATGGCGACAGCAGCAGCGGTTGCTCTAGCGGCAGCAGCAGCGGCAACAGCAGCGGCTGCTTCAGCAGCTTCGCGCCAATACCTATTGATCGCCTCTGGTATCGGAAGTCCCAGTAATGTCCATAGTCCTGAACAATTAAACAAATGAAACTTCTTAAAAAATCATTCAATCGAAATTGTGCGTCAATTAGCCTTACCTTTCAGTAGAATGTTCTTAGCAGCCACGACGTCACGATGCCAAATCACAGAGCATTCGAGGTTTAATCGCCAGTTTTTGTAGTAACATTTTACTTTTGGGAATAAACGCTCGTCTCCTACCAATGCTTCTTCGTTCATGGCGCGTTGCAACTGTCGGTAGATCGATAGATCCGTTTTGCCCAACTTTGACACAATTTTCGTTGGCAGCAATGTTCTGGCGTCGGGTACGCATCGGCATTTCTTGAATCTGGCCGCTTTGTTCTGGTTTTGGAATCGATTCATACATCTTGCGTCGGTTTGAGATGTTCCCCATTCGTCCACCAATTGTATGAAACAATCTCGGCGCTTCTTTATTGACCTCAAAGTCAAACGAACCCCTGGGCAGCGCACGTGCTTCTTGATACTTATTGGGCTATCAGGTGGTATTTCGCCATCAGCACCAAAAAAGAACAGAGTCGGTTTCTTATCGGTCACCTTATTCACCCATTCGTCGACAACACTACTGCTCTTGATGTGTTTGTCCAAGGCGAGTCGAGTGTATTTGGCAGTCGAGTAAGCGCAGATTCCATGCTTCATCATCTTGACTCGGTGTTTGATATAGTTATAGCCACATTGACCCTTTTGGCGACGGCATCACTGGATACAGCTCACGATTTTCTCTGTCTGCGCGCTCCATTTCGACAAAATGTTTGGTCCATCGCTTTGCTTTGGCATTTCGCACCTTTTGACCTGTTTGCCAGTGGAATTGCTTGCTCGACATTACAAAGTTGGTCTGAAAAAATAAATAGAAAAAAAGGTATAGTTATTGAGTTTTGGCACTTAAGCATTTTCTATTAAAATACACACAACTTATTCAAATGTATTCAAAACTTACTTCTTTGCCAGTTTCAATGTCGTGTGTTGTTATGGTATTCCAACTTCGCACACCTGAATCAACGCCCGAATAATTTTTGATTGTGCCATCCTCAATCTTCTGAATGATGCGAGATTTTTGGTCGATTTCTTTGTTGGCTGTCTTCTTTTTGGCCGAGTACTGGAGAGACACAGAGATTCCATCGGTGTTTATGGAATAGTCAAACTGCTTTTTGGCACGCACGAATCGTCGAATTTTTCGCATGTAAAAATACTGATTCCACCAATAATCTCTGTCCCGATTGAAATCCTTTGCTGGAATAATTGTTGTACTTGTTGTTCCTTTTTTATTCTCAATTTCCACTTTCGGCAACAATTTTTGCGAAGACAACACCTGTCGCATGGATGTACAATCGATTCTGAAGTGCGTACGCCGGAAATCACACATCGGCACCACTACTAAATTCCGAATCAATGGCCGAAAATCTGGGTTGTCGAGCATTTGTCTGCGCTTGCGTTTCCATTTTCCTTTTGTCTTTTTTCGCTTTCTTTTCTTACGTTTGGGTCGGCGCTGATTCTATCTCGCGCTGCATAGATAGGTACATTGGCATGGCCTTATACCAATGTTTTGGGTCAGTTGTAAGGTCATGCAGATCGATTTCTGGGAACACATTGCAATCTCTCACGATATCATACAACACCTCACACCGTACGAGTTTGTTTGGATCGCGACTTGGCACTTTGATATCTTTTTGCTTGATGATCAACTTGACAACATTTTCGATGTCACTTGGCAAAAATTTCTCTCCATCCTCTTCCAAGTTTGAGTTCAATTCGAACACTTTCAGTTTCAAGTACTGGGTGATGTGTTTGTTAGCATGCGTTTCAAGATTGGTGACGACGTTATCTGTGTACTGATTGGTCAAATGCTTAAGCCCATTGCTGAAATCTTTGTTGTTGGGCCAATCGATACGATGATAGTCGTCAAGACCTTCGACAATTGCCTTGAATTCAGGATCGATACGTGGCAGCTCTGCTCGTGGTCCTCGTGGCTTTGTTCCGCTTGGTTTATACCTTGACTTCGGTTTTGGTGGCTGATTGTTGTGCCATAGCACTTGTTCAAAGCAGAGTTTGATCTTATCTTCTCCACTTCCACCAAACAATGCGAAATTATTGTTCTCGACGCCTATATTCGAATGCCTTTTGCACCTCAAACAAGAACAGCAATGAGCCCAAAACACAAATGGAAGTGGCTTGCAAACTCAGATCCGTTATTTTGCTCATCAATGCTTGCTGGTATTGTGGGCGAATGATTGTCTTTAGCGCACATTTGATCGTCGTAATTTCATCTTTCGTCTCTCCCTCCGCTGGTATTGATGGCTTGAAACGATTCGCCATTGTCCTACTGAAAGAAAAAAAAACACACATTCGATTTAGTTTGAAAACGAATAATATTGAAACTTAAATTCGATTTAGTTTGAAAATGACAACAGAATGAGACACACAAAAATGACTTCGGTTTGATAACAATGGCATTGATTCAATTTGAGTTCGAACAGTAATCGATTAACTGTTTCTCTTCTCCGAACAATGGACTCAATTTATTGCATAAAATGAATTTCACCATCACACGTATTTCACCATCACATGTAACAGAACTATGTACTGCAGAATTATTGTGAAATTCATTACTTTTTTTCATGGAATCTAATATTACTGTTGATATTTTCAATATATTTCACGTTATAAATGCTTATATTACGTTTTTAAAATGAATTCCACAATAAGAAGAAGAGATTGAAATGATCAAGTTTACTTACACTTTGGCGACTTGAATTCAATGTGAACTCCGGATCAAATCGATACAAAACGCACGTAAATCGAAAATAATACGAAATGAAATACCAGCAAAATCGTAGATAAATTAAATTGCAGTGTAAATTTCCAGTTTAAATTGTAAGATAAAATGTAAGAGTTTCAATTTGTTGACTTGGTGTTCACAACGCTGTATGTTTTCTCGGAATGAATGATGCGGCGTCTGTGACATTTCGAAAACTGCTGAAGTGAATGTCAAATGTCATAAGGATCGGTTCACATTGCCAATTTTTAGAACATTAGACAATTTGAGCTACAAAGAGTCAATACACATAAAAACGGTTATATTTCGGTGAAATTCCAAATTTATTAGCAATGAAGGACGATTTATTGTTTGATTCCGATTTTTTGGGCCGAAATCTACGTAGAAATCATATATTCTTATTTGACTCCCCAAACCTGAACACCCTATGTACAATCCACATACATTGCTAGTTTGCTAGTGCATTCCAAATGGCAGCGGTAATTTAATTCAATTATAGTGTGTGTGCACGCACAACTGCGTTTTGGGATATTTTAGCCCGGTCACTATAACGGTATCGGTTTCTAAGCCAATTTTTTTTTATCTTCACTGCTTAGCACCATTGAGTGTAGATATTGTTTGTGTTTGCGGTTTTGAAACGATAGAAAGGGGTGTATCAAAGCGAGAATAAAGTGTATGGACTGGTGAAATAAAAACCGGCTTATAAAAACATTGATAGCTGTCGTATCAATAGCAATGTCCAGCAATTAATCCCTCGGTTACACTATTGGCACGTCGCTAATCTGTTGGTATCGTTTTTTTAAAGTCTTTTTGGATTTAATTAACATATAACAAATTCCCACAAAGCCACACTATTTACTTTCGGCACATTTGAAATGTACAATGAGCATTACAACTTTACATTACGAACGCTACGATGGTTTTTTTTTCACCGAATAATTCCGTTCATCGATTCGCTTATCATTTTATCTAACATTTGAACTTAGCATTTTGCCGCGAGAGAATGAGCGAGAGAGACCTTCACAATTTACATTGCATGATCTTAGGTAAATAAACCCCGTTGAAATTCCCTACAAAACATCGATCAGTGCATTTCAGCGAACGAAAACCAATCATGTGTGAATTTTTTTTTCTTCATTCAAACGGTTAACAAAACAAAAACATGAGTTAGATGTGGTTTTCTATTGCAAATAAATATGTTGCATCGAGAGAGCTCGCAAAACAAAAACAACAGAAAAAAAGAGTACAACAATTGATGAATGTGTGTTGTTTTGTGCAGGTAGCAAGAACGGAATTGAAAAGTGAAAAAAAAAACATATAAATCGCTACGAAAGTGAAATAAAATGTTATAAACAAAATACGAATAAGACAATGCAAACATATGGTACATAGAGCGTGCGCGCGCTCACTCGCAATGCATTGGCATGGGCACATCGAAAGTTAAAATTGCATTTTCGTTTTGCTTTTATTATTTTTGTTTCATATCTCGACACACTCAATTATAGACAAATACGAATTTCAACATACACAGACACACTCACACACAGAGAGACACATACATGCATATGGTGTTGTGCGCACTGAAACTGGGTAAACCCTTCCTAAACGACAGACGCTTTTGCGAATATTTAACACGCATTGTCAACACATTTTCAAATACACATCGAAAAAAAAGAACGCCGTGCAGAAAATGCGATCCTATTACACTCTCGAGCCGATTGCTATCGGAAATTATATCCGTAAATAAAGCAATTGAAATGAATGACGGTGAACGACCGCGTCAACCGAATTCCTTCTTTGCCAAGCGCATTATATCAACACCATGCCGAAATCATTTTTTTTTCATGTGCCACAATTAATGTTCGAAAAATGTGTGTTTTTCTTCTTCTTTTTTTTCGTTTGTGTTGGCTTTTTATACAAATACTTTTCCGTATTGTGTTGGCATTAGCAATGTGCGATGTATTTTTTTCCGTAAAATTTCGATTGTTTATGGCCCAATAGCACGGTATTTATGAGTGCAATAAGGACTTTTATGACGATTGTAATCATTTCCCCATATCCTGCAACCAAACAAACAAACCAAACAAAAATGCAAATTATGACGAATTGCTTAGAAATAGTGTTGACGATTTTTTTTTTTCATCTTTCGAATCCCAAAAAAATGTTGCATTCCAAACAATTATAGTGCCAATGAATAATCAAAACACAAGGGAGAACATCATCGATAATAGGAAGAAAAAAACTACAATTCCACTTCTGTGCAACACACAACCATGCTCACAAAGAATCCGCTTTCTGTAACAAATTCGTTTAAATCTCTTTGAGCCGAATTTTTTTTCATCCATCAAGAAAATGTTCTGTTCCAAGCGGTGGAATTAAGTGTTTTTTTTCACTTTGTTTGTTGTATGGCACAGAGGAAAAAAAACACTTCACGTTTGGATGTTGTTTATTTACATGGGTCTTATGCGGCTGTAGTGTCGGTATTGCCTGTTTTCAGTTCGATGATACACATGTTTTTATGCAAATATGCATTTTTTTCCCTACACCGTACGTTCAACGTTCGGTCTCTGGCTCACATCCAAATGAGGAACCAAAAATTGTAAATAATAAAAAAAAATATCATAACAACAACAGCAACAAAGCAGATAATGAATGTAAAAAAAAGGCGATACAGCAAAATAATTCAAGCCTCATTTTTTGGTTTATTTTAAACCCATAAAACGGATGGAAATGATGAACTAAAACAAAAAAAAAACGCAACGCATTCACAGCAACATCAGCGATGAGCAATATACACATTTGATTTTTGAACCGAAACAACTGACGACGAGATAAAAAGGGTGCGCATTGCGCGTATGGCTATGCTGATCTCTGTGCACGAAACACGCTGTGTGTGCACCAAAAATA